TTCGGAATGTATCCGTGGTCGACTAGAAAGTAGGCCACGTCTCTGGAGGGGCTTCTCGACTAATAATGAATTATTACTTTGTACTTCCCCGGTATCGGTGACAAGCGTCGCGATAACGTTCCGGATGGGGTCGCAGCGGAGCGCCTGACAACTCACCCTTCCCTCCGGCCGTCGGGGTGCCATAAATTGTCGAAGTGGGTCGGGGGAGGGGGGTCGTGGCTGTCGCAAGAGGGTGGGGCGTGCGTGTGACGTGGTGGGTCCTTCCATAGTACAAACTTTTCCTTACGTTCTATTTTATTTTATTTAATTTAGTTAAATAATACCGTACCGCTACAATATAAAAAAAGCATGAATCATCAGCTGTACACTTAAAATATCAAGTTCACATTACGTGGAAATACCAGTGGAAATGGAAATATATTCACACCTGGACATCGCTTACTGGAGAAAGATAGCAGAAGAAAATGAAAAAAATTAGGCACAACAGGTATGTTCTCAATACTTTAATTAACGTGTACGTTGGTGTACGTTTATGCGGGTCTTTTGAACTAGCGTTGAGAGGACGATGAGACTGCAAAACCGTCAAATCGTGGAATTTTATAGGCCTTGTAAATTTTAGATCAGATTCTGTTTTGAGAACACATCTTAAAAAAGGAACAGTATTTAACGGAACGTCCCAAATAATACAGAATGAATTATTGCGAGTAGGGTTGAATGTCTGTTAAGAAGAAATTTCAAAAGGAATTAAGAATTCAAATTTTCTGTCAATTATTGCAGATGAAACCACAGACTATCAATTTAGTACAAATGGCTATTGTTTTTCGTTACGTTATCAAAAGAAAGCCCGTGGAAAGATTTTGGAGTTATATTTTTCCCATGCCATGATGCCAAAACACTCCCCGCATATTGGAGGAACTTCAGAAACATGAATTGAACGAAACTCCTTCAAAAGTAATCGCACAGACTAATGATGGTGATTCTGTTATGACAGGCTCATCGGACTGCGTGCAAGCGATTATTAAGCAAAGAGTTCCCAAGTCTGAATACAATTATTACTATGTTCACCAAGATAACTTTATTATTAGCAAGGCAGCATCAATTAATGGAAATGTTAGGGTTTTCTGCAGCTTACAAAGTATCTGCACTTTCTTTCCCGCGATCCCATGAAGAACAGCGGTTCTAGAAATTGGAGTAAAAAGACGACTTCTTAAAGCTGGGAACACACCGAGGAATTTTTATTAAAGAAGTGTATGTACTGTTTTGCCCATAAACAGGATATTTTCACGTATATGGATAAAAGTTTAAAAACTGATGAAATAAGAAGGAAGAACAAGTTGCAGTACATAGAAGAATGCTGGTTAGTTCTCACTTCAGTTTTTGGCTGACATTTTTCAGCAAAATAATTCCATTTGTTGCAATTGTATTTAGTCAATTGCAAAAGACATCTTCTGCACATGAATCATTATCACGTTTTGAAAAATATATTAGTATTATTTGTGATCAGATTGACAGTGAAAACAACCCTGTTGCTGAAATTTCGAATGCTACATCAAAGAAATGTGTGATAATTTATAAAGGAATCGAGAGGCCAAAGAGGTATATGGTTTGACTTCTAGTGAAAGTAAAGCTTAACTTACGTTCGTAGGGCATGTTCAACCTTCATTGCTTTTTGAACAAGATATTTTTCATTTTATACATCAAAATTCCCAGAAGAAATTTTGAAAAATGTGTGTTCAACTTACACATATTTAAACAAAAGAATCCTTCAGAATGAACTTCTTCAGTTTATTCATCAGAAGAATTTAGATCTATGTCAGGTGCTGTCAGTTTGTCCGAATTTCTTTTAAAATACAATTTAGTTGGCTCAATAAGCGAAACATTTCAGTTGTTGAAATTAACACTAACAACCAATGACATTAGTGGAAGCTGAAAGATGTTTCTCAACTCTCAAAATAATCAAAACATTTTTGAGAAACACAATGAGCGAGGGACGACTAACGGCTTTGGCGATGCTATCCATAGAAAACAATTTCATTAGAATATTTTAGATTTCAACAGCAACCGATGACGAACCGATTTGCCGAAATGAAGAAAAGGATGATGCATTTTTTAAATTGAGGTAAGATTTTAAAAAAATTTTCTCTAAATAAATCGTGCCTAGAGACTTCTTGTATTATATTTCTTTATCCTCTGATAACTAGCGCTCGGAGTTTTAGGAGCTAACAAACTGAAAATATTTATTTTTTGTTTAAAAAGTGAAACAAATATTAAAGCGATTAAAATAATGATTACCAATGTGAAAACCATTAACCAATATCAAGAGAAGTCTCGAAGAAAAACTTGAGGCTTTCCACTTTATCACTCTGAATATTGTGCAATATCAGGAAGTTCGGGAGCTGCTCGTGTTATGAGTATATGTTATCGCTTGGTGTCAGGTGCCTCACAGTCCGAGCCCTAGGAATGACGTATGCAACAACCTAGTTCGTGTAGTACCAGGTGCCAGTGGATAAAGGAAAAGTGGGATAGGAAACACTAATCTAATTACAGACCAATAACTCTCTTGAATATCAGATACAAAATGTACCCCAAAATTTTATATTGGCGTCTAACAAGGATTTGAGAGATGCTCTTGTTAGAAAAGCAAACTGGATTTAGGAAAGGCATGTCTAATATTATTGGCATTTTCATACTCTAACTGAATATAGAAAAACAATACAATATTCCTACATTCATTGCGTTTGTAGGTCAAGAAAATGCATTAGACACAGTGAACCGACACAAATTATGATCTTGCTGAAAATCCCACTTCTAGTGACGGCCATTCGTAGTACATATGTAGATTACTACACTACTTTAAGCGCGGATGCCCCGTGTAATACGCACTTTTGAACGTTTAATTTAATGAGATGATTAGAAAAGCCATTTAAAAACAATTTTTTTGGAAATTTGTCCTTGCAGACATTGCTTATTGGAGACGACCAGGTTATTCTAGCAAACTCTGAAGAAAATCAGCAAAGGTCAATTTTTATTCCTTTTTGTATTGCTAACTTCTTATATGATGCAGAGATACAGACCATGGCCCAACAGAGAAAGAGGGTGCAAGAGGCGGAAATTTGGTTGCTGAGGCTTCTCGTGGGGTACAATTTGCGAGACCACAAGAGAAAGTTATTAAATCAAAAATGAAAGTTTTCAATTTTTTTTGTTATTTAAGGTCGCACCGACTTCTAGGTCATTAGCGACCACTATTGCGTGTAAAGGTACGGTAACTGTGAGGATAACACGATGTGATGATAGAGGGTGAATGGACAAACACAATACAACCATGTCCGATGCATGACTCGAACCCGCGATCCTTCGGCCCGAGATCGCTATGGCACTACTGCCTTTGTGATCCCGGCCACCGGATCGGCAATTTATGGGTATATTTAGATTTTAATGGTATATGTGTACTCTACTAAGAATAGACAGATCCAAAGTTTTAAATATAAACTGCAATGTAGAATAAATGCGGGTCGACCAAGATTGCGGTGGAATGAGTAAATGGAATTCATGCAGACAGAAAAGATCTACAGGGAAATCCATTCTCTCTATTATGATGTATAACAACAAAATTCTTATTCATTTTGTATTTTTATTACTTTTTTAAAGCACGTTTGCCCCGGACCCACTGTATCGTTAAGCGACATCGATGTGGTCCGTGAAACCAATTTGGTTGGCCAGATCTGGTCTATTTGTGAAGAGAATGTTGAGCAGGACCTCGACAAAAAATTCAAAACACATTGCACAAAAATTATTCGTTAGAAGTATTAATTGTGTATGATGTTTCGTAGAACAGATTTTTAACAATACTGGTCATAATGAAATAATTACATAATGGTTGCGTAGGCTTCCGCGGCCGGAGTTTGTATTATCTAGGCTATCTGGGACGAGCCGCGTCACTGACATGATGATTCCTGACCAAGCAGTCTTTCTCTTCTTCTATGGCACTATTCCATTTATTTTTATCTTGACTATTAATACAGTATTCATAAGCAAGAAGTGAATCTTCAGCAATCATAGCCATCACCACAAAATATTTATATCTACCAGGCACCTTTATCTCCCTTTGTTTTAACAGAGGATTTGGTAGGGAATCATCCTCTGAAGGTACATACTTTTCAGAATCATTATCTTCATCTTCACTGGAAGTTTCATGATTGTCTTTGTTTTCTTCATTTTCATGGATTCCTTTATCATTGAAGAAGTTTTCAATTTCTGTGTTTTGGATTATTTAATCAAGAGCATCTCTTGAGACATATAATTGACGAGTATATGCCGATTATAAAGCCGTTGTTTGAGTATCCCAAACATCTTCCTTTTTTGCCTCTAGGATCCAGTTTTTTTTAGAGAACCTAAATTCTTGGTATAAACCATTGAACCATAAATTTGAAGGAGGGGCAAATCAGGTTTCATCTTATACCACTTCTTATCATGTGTAGTATCTACAGCCTAGGACACCTGTTTTTCAGTTAAGCAACAGTTTGTACTGCAGTACCCTACATTTCACCAGGAAAATTAGCATATTCTAGTTAAGCTCTCATTTTATTTTCCAAAGTGTAATTCATTCTCTCTGCCGTACCATTTAGCCATGGAGAATGAGGAATGGAGTAATATAATTGGATACTTTTCTGCTTACACCACTCCTTAAAATCATTTGAACGGAATTCACCACCATGGTCCATTCTTATTTTTGACACTTTTAGATTGTGGAAATTTTCTGACTCAACAATATAGCCTTAATAATCCCTTATAAACTTTTCCACTTCGTATTTAGTTTAAAGGAGGTACACTTGAACAAAAAGTGTATAATCATTGGTTTCTTCTTATATAATTTTAAAAATCCTAATTGTTGTGTATTTTAGTTTTATCCTTATAATTTTTTTAATCAATTGATCAATCTTACATGTTTGTGCAACTGATTGGCTTTTTATATTCAATTGACATTGAATTTTTTCTTTAAAATTATATTAATCTAATATTTTAGTTCACTACCCTGTTCCTACATGAAAAATTCCTTGTATAAATGTTTTGACTGATCACCTGCGAGACCTTAGTCAACTTTCGAGGGAACCCTAGGGTTTCATGGAACCAGTAGTCACCACCCTGTCACCTTTTTGAAGGCAATTACGTTCAAACTAAATTCTGCACTGAAAACACATACATGATTTCACTTTGTTATTGAGTAACCAATGTATTGTAATTTAAAAAATATTAAATTGTAATAAAGAATTGTCAACCCGAGTGACACAGGTTCGTATCCCAGTCAGAGTGATAATTCATTGAACAAATTTAATTATTCATATTGATTTACTTACCAACACACACTCACACAGACATTTAAAATATGGATGAATAATACATCAAATTATAAGTTTAATAAAATCAATAATAGCCAGGGAGGTATACATATTTATGGAAAATACTTCTATTCATTATTATAAAATCCTCAAAACTTCTTATAAAATTTCACATTTGAAATGTCTAATATTTACATTAAAAATAATTATGTCAACATTTCCTATCACTATGAAAAATTTACACAATGCATGTGTGTTTCAACATCTATGCTAGAAATTTTGATGTTGGAAAATATGCCATTAGATAAATTAAAATTGTTATGCTTCCAATAACAGTGTTGATCAATTTGAAAGACCATCTCCATCACAAATTATATTTTTAAAATAAATAAATAGTAAATTAGCACTGTTCAATTAAGTATCAGCAAATAAAATAGACACAAAAAAAAAGAAGCTGAATTTCCAATATAACAATACCTAGAATTATAACTGAAGTATGCTAAAATACACGAGGTCTTTCTAATTCAGACAATTTTAAACTTACAAAAGTAGACAAGTCTGACATCATTTGAGACAAAATGTTTAACCTTCACAGCTATAATCACATTGCAAATTTTCAATGATTGTAGTCTATTATTCCTCAAATTTTTCTTGACAAAATGACTCTATCCTCAAAAATTGTGCAAATGATTTTGAAATGCCTGTCTAAGACAAATCATTTGAAGGCACTGGAAATTTGCGAATTGTTCTTAATTACCAAGGACCTAAAATTACAGTTAATGATCAATCAAGTTCTGAAATCTTGTCCACTTTATGTATAAAACAAATTTTGTAAGCTTGAGGTGTAATAGCATGGTAGAGAAATCAGTAAAAAGAAGCGTGCCTACATTAGGATTTCACTTCCCTAACCAGCAATTATCCATCACCGTGTAAGTACAGCTCTATTGTCAGAAAATTAGGAAACCAATAACCATTAATTTAAGGTTAGTTAAAATTAATTTTGTATATATTTTTATACACGTTGTAGCATTAAAAATAAAAGATGGGGAATTTAAAAAAAAAAAAAAAAAAAAAAAAAAAAAAAAAAAAAAAAAAAAAAAGAATTTGTTCAGCACAAGTTTTCAGTTTGTATAATTATTCTCTGGTATTTAATGTAAAAATTCTGAATGGAAAACATATTTCCTATGATGTCTCATCCCTCTTTAAATCAAATAAAAATATTTGTAACAAAAGTGTATTAACAATTTTTGTTTGTACGTCGACTTCAATGTAATGATTCATTTCACATTTGTGTGCTTTACTCCTTCCTCTCTCTGGATTTCTCAATTGTTAAGATGGTCTGTACTTTCTTCTATTGTCTGACTGGATAACATATTTTGCTACGATGAAGAATGACCTGAACATGGCAGACATGAATGTACATGAATGCTTGTGATGATTTACACAAATTTTCTCACTTTAAAGTAATCTGGTAAGAAAAATAACCCTCATTTTTACATTAAGTTGCCTTTTCCCTGGAACATATATACATGATCTCTTCACACAAATACTTTCCAAAAACCTAGTAATAGTCAGGGACAGGCGCACAGGCAATTTTTACAAAATCTTGGTATTTAACTTGACCATTTGGAGTAACGTTCGCCTCTCGGAAGATCTGCTCCACTGGAAAGGAAATGTGTGGTTAATCAAATGGACTGAAAGTTTGCCATAAGAAGCAAATAGTAATTAGATTGATTATAAACAAGATATAAACTCAGCATGGCAATAGCATGCCTCTCAGCATTCAATGAGATTAAAAATAGTTAAATTGTGAGTTTTCTTGAGCAAAAATAATGAGCAAGGATGAAAACACCATGTACTATAGTGTTTATATGAAAACATTAATTGAAGAAGTTGAGTGTAAATAACGATAACTCTCAAAATGAAGTTTTCCACTTTTTGTGTTTAAACATGCATATTTAACTAGACATTTGTTTACAGCAAAGTCACTAATATTGTAAAAATAGCAACACAATATAGTTTTAATTCTATAACAAACCACATATATTATCTACAGTAAATAATAGCACTCATTTCAAAGATGGAGGCTCAAAAATAATTGAGAGTTATCAGTATGTACTACCGAGGTCTTCAATTATTGATTTTTTTATGTAATACTAATTACTGAAGAAAATACGTTGAATAATTATGTTCATTTTAACATTGCTTAATATCAATTCCCAACAAAAACAAAAGTTCCAAAATTAGGAAGATTTATTAACAACACAATATATAATAAAACGTTCATATATGAGGGCTAGTATAAACCCAACAACTTCCACTTGGCATTGGAATCAGGAAGTATTTCAGGGGCATTTCAGTTCAGACCCCCCTCCTGGCACGCTTGTGTAGTGCAGTGTTGGTGTGTGTGTGTGTGTGTGTAAGGGGAGAGGATAGAACAAGGAAGAGGTAGGAAAGATCGTGCTGTTTGTTAGGGTATTGCTCTGGTATTCGCTTAGTAGTGATCAGAGAAACCATTGAACACTACTGATCAGAGCAGCCAGCTGCTCGAGTTCTCCTCCAAATAGCACCCAAATTTAACCAAGCTCACAAGCTAATGCTGAAAATCCTGCCACCAGCAGAACTTGAACCTAGGACCTCCTGGTCACAGGGAGCCATCTCTCCCAGTGTGTATCATTAAGAATGCACACTTCTATGGGTTTCCTATATATCCTCACTTCAAAGGATGTCAGTCCCTAGTTTAAGCAGTACAAGCAATAAGATATGAAACAAGTGAAGTTGCAATTTATTATATGTTTTGTAACTTTATATCAAAAAGCTGTTAATAATAAAGTTCATTACTTTTTTTGTAATCAATGTGATTTTGATTATACTGATAAGGATATTGACCCCCCAATTCACCAACTAATCATCACCAATCCCCCTTCAAAATTTCATTGATCACCAGGGGCTACATACCAACCCATTGGGAAACCCTAGTCTAAGAAATTGCATTAGTACTATTTCAATCTCTCCCAAATTTCTGTTCCTACGTTACGTAATGTGGCTTTACTTTCTTAACAAGGAATGTGTGTTGTTAATTTCCAATTACAAACTGACAGTAGTTTATGTGCAATTGTATGCATAGGTATGACTTTAGCCCATTCTTTTTAACATATTACAATGTACATTTGATAAGTTGCATCTTGAAGTCTCAGTAAAACGAATATCTTTACACGCTACGAAACAGCGGCTGCAACAACTTCAAACAAAATTACTCACTCAAAATTGCAACATAATTTGTTCCTCAATGTTATTAATTAACTGTTTTTTTGTTTTTTTTAAAATATAAAACATACCTTCTTTTGGACTAAGCTGTTCACCCCAATGTAAAAGCATATGGCGTAATTGTTTTGCTGGAATAACTTCTTTTTTATTAGGGTCAGCAGCTCGAAAAGCTTCAACTACTTCTCTAGGTAAATCTTCTGCTTGACTGTGTACATGCATTACTTCCAAGAATTCAGCAAAAGACATTTTACCACCTAAACACAAAATAAAATAATATTTCTGGGCTATGACATATTGCACTTGTTGCTCATAACTTTTATTTCTCTTACCCTTATCTTTCATGTACTTTTTCAGTTCTTGAATGGTAGGACTCATTCCCAATGACCTCATTATAATAGTTAATTCATCTAGTGTTCTTATTTTACCACTTCGTGCAAATAAATAAAAACATTCTCGAAATTCTGTAAAACAAGATTGTATGAGGAATACTTTCCTTAGTATATTTAAGGATTAATATGTTTCATTCTCACTCACCATCGATATCTTGCTCTCGGAAATAGCGAGCCTGAAATTAGAAGGTTAAGATAAATTATATTTCGCGTAAGACAAGATAAACCACAAGGAATTCTATACACCACACAATATGATCTTACCATAATGAAAAATACAAAAGGCAACTGGGCGGAAATAAAGCGACTACTCCTTAAGTTAATTTTCGTTATACCTACGAGGAATATCAGATATATTTCTTATCAAGATTTATCATTACAAGCAGATGCACTTTATCTCCCGTGATCACATGAATGACAGAAGATATCTACCGATATCTACAGTGGACACTGAAATCATCTACGGCACATCACTCATCTCCTCCCCTCTCTCTCTGCTATACACAATGCTTTGCAGACAGATGAAAACGTCAATTTCAGCTGCTTCTGGCTTCACTACTCCTACTTACTCAGTCTACTCCAAAGAGTGTACCAGGGCCGGTTCACTCAATGTTAAAAGGCGGGGAAATTTGTTTCCACAGTCACGGACCTGGTACAGATAGCGCAGTTGTTGCGTTTTGGCGCGCATTTTCAAAGTAACGTTGTACGAATTAATTGTGGTGCGTGTAGGGAATATCCAAGAGTATTATCTGCTTTTCTTATGATTCAGATTAACTTGATTTAAATAATATTTTTAAATATTGTATTAGATGTGTTTACTTAAAGCGAAAATTGTAAAGTGATTTATTTATCCTTAATTACTTTAAAAGCAGAAAAAGTGAAAATACGAAGTTTTAAATTGATCATTTCCTAATAGTTTTTTTTAGTTGTTTTTTTTCCACATAGATACTATACATTTGAGGGGTCTGGTGCAATACCGCCCTAACCCACAAAATCTTTAAATTTGAGTACTTATAGTTTCATCACTTCTCATGTGTTCACATTATCGAATAAGCTTGTGGCAACACCTATTAGCATGGTTCAGAAAAAAAGGCATTCTTCGTCCAAAAAAATTTTACCATCTTTTCTGTAATATTGCCTGAATCAAAAAACCTCATACTGTTGAAAACAACTGATTTCATAAAAAATCTTACAACAATATTAGACAGTTTTTGAAATATTAAATTCTATTTAATAGTTGTCCTATTCCTTCCCACTTTAATGGTATTTTATCAATATACTCAAGGAAAAAGGTTAGTAGTATTAAAATTAGTAAGATTAAATACCGTTTTTATCAGCTTTAACAATATTAATTTTATTCTTAACTAAGTATCAATATAATTCCATTTTTATTAATGCTCATCTTCTCTAAGATGTTATACTTTATGTGGCATTAGCAAACATTTTACTCCAAATCTAGAATTACAAAATATATGCTTGAAGATTTTATGCGTTTTTCTTGAAACTAGCTCGGTGTGTGTATTGTTCCTAAATTTGCTATTATCTACAGACAATGAAATGCTGGATAAAAACTATTATATCATCCAAGTCCATTAGTAAATAACAACTACAAATTGTTTATTATTCATTTCATAAGCATGCTCATTTTAATGTACATTACATTGTATTTTTTTCTCCAAATTGTTCTATTATGTGAAAAAGTTTATAAGAAATACGATATTCTTTGTATAAACTGTGTAATTGATGTAAGTCTTCATCTCTATAACTTAATATTTATTATTTGTAATATTTGAAAAATAACTTAAATCATTGATTTAAAAAAAAAAATCTTTTGATTTAAATCATGATTGAAATCATACCAGCCTTAATTTTTGGTGACATTTTTTAGCCAAAAATAGAATTGTAATTTTGATACAATATCAATCATTGGTACCGTGACTATTTTGGTTAAGTCTTTGAAAACCAAGGAAAATGAAACAAATTTATAAATTATACTAGTTTTGTGTTAGGCAAGTTGATTCGTCTTGTAGTTAGTAATAACATACCAGTAAATATGCTTCGTGTTCTGGGATTAAAGAGGAAATTTGCATTGTTTACAACAAAATCTTTTATTAAATGAAAATTTGTGAAAGATATAACAATTTTAATTTGGCCTGTTTCTCCCAAGTTTTACGCAATTTCAACTTTAAAATAAACAATTGGCACAGATTTCTTCTGTTTAGGTTGCAATACAAGATTTTTCATTTTCTATAGCAATCTGATAGGTTACGGCACATCATGACAATATTTCCACAAAGTCCACAGACAAACTATCCTCATTGAAACCTACACATGGGCAGAACAATAATGAATTGTTACGGATGACAGAATTTTGATGGTATATGTAGAAAAATTGGATTAGATTTTTACTATAATTATCAATAATATTATTACAGGATTTATTGTTCAGATGATTCATTTACCAATTCAAATTTGGCTACATTTAATTAAAAATCATCAAAAAGCTTTTGTAGCACTTAAGTATGTCAAATATGCAAAAAAGTATACCTGTCTTAATATTTTAAAAATAAATATTAGATATTCAGAGTATATTATTTATTACACACAGTTCTTCTATTACACATTCCAGAACAAAAGTTTTTTAATTGTTCACATTCAAAATTGTTTTGAGTATTTATTAATATATTTCCAGTGCTTGTTAGGCAAGTTTTTCTAATGTTATTCCATCTTCTAATGTTAGTGAAGTCAACTTTGACTATATCTTGCCAGTTATCATACTGCAACTCTAAGATCACCTCCAGAATGGAAATGTAACTTGTACACCTAAGCAAATAAAATTAATTACATTTTCATCATACACTAATGAGAGTGTACCTATTCTAGAAATGCAAACAATAATGAATTACATATTTTTGAAAATTAGATATTTTGATTACCAGGGTATTGCAAACAATGGATATACAATGGACATATTACAAAACTCGTCGATTACCATACGAAATAATATAATTACAATACTTTTAAACAAATAGAACAGAATAAATGACATGTACAGGTTAGGTTATACTACATGGATTTACGGATTTGTAAGACTATTTTGCATAGTGTAAATGTTCACAAATGAAATAATCAATTACAATTATGCAACAAGATTCCAAAATGAATCATAAATACCTCCACTGCTGGTAGGGCGAAAATCCTAACAATGTACTTGTCTAGCGCCAGTTTTCTTAATATCATCTTCCAAAATACAGAAAACAAAGTTTTAGACATGACAAATATCGCGACACAATTCACTCTACTTACAATGCATGACATTCTACATACTAACAAAATGCTGAAAAAATTCGATAAAATAGCACCTACCTGCTTGCAACCTGTACGTAACGAAAAACACCGCCTAAATTGCCAGCTTTTTGAATTGCATGACGTCACACGTTTAGTTCGGCTCACTACGGAACTGTGGTAGATGACGCAAAAATCATTACCCCGTTTTGCCAACCAAGTTTCCCTACCCTGGAGTGTACCCATGAAACACGTTGCTGTAGTATCACTTTTCACTCATTCTCTCTGATTTTCACGCAGTCACTTGGTTAAGTAGTACAGGCTACGCACACTGCACGTACAGGCGCTAGTGATAATATGTAATAATACGATAAATACGATTTTGTATAGGTCGTATTAAATATTTTATTTTGAAGGCAGATATTACTCTTCTAAAAAATGTACGAGATACATTGATTCTTTATTTTTGTCAATCGATGGAAAGTTTTATTTTGAATATAGCAACAATAGCAGCGCACTCCTGTAGTGGATTTCTGCATTACTAGCTCAGAAATATTTCTATACTGCGATTTAAGTAATTCTGCTTTTGGCAAGTATCAGCTGTTGACGGTTTCATCCAATCACAATCATCATAGTGACGTCACTATGGTGACATTTGGGTTTCTGATTGGATGAAATTGTCATCAGCTGATACCTGCCAGAGGTAGAGTTGAAAAGATCGCAGTTTAAACAATAACATCCCGACCCGGAGTTGAGTCGCACAAGCCAGCACCAGCAGCGTGCGAGTGAGTATAGTGCCGAGTGGACCAGGGCCGAGCAATGCTGTGTTACGGCTGGTAATAGTTACGTTGTGGTTGCCTCTACTGTCGTGGCAAGTGACAATGTAATTGTGACTGTCAGTCCCTAGTTTAAGCAGTACTAGCGATAAGAAGTTGGTTACGTTGTAAACTGCATGCGTGTGCCTGGAAAAATTGAGAGGTTGGATTGATTTAATGTGTATAACCGATATGTAAGCTGCACAGTTTATGTCCTGTGGGTTACGCCAAAGCAGGACATCAAGGAAGGTGCTCTGAGGTGACTTTATGAAAGGTAATGTTTTGACATTTTATTTTAATCATTATTATTAAATGATTTGCTTCATTCTGTCTTGTGGTATTCATTTAGTTAAAGAGCTATACGTTTTCTAACCGTACATAAAAATTAGCTGCTTTTGGATTTTAAGTCTATTTTTGGATCATTTACATAATGATTTATGTAACTTGATGGGTGATACATGGTTAACACACATAATAGCCTGTTCCTTAGAAAATGTATTCGTCAGTAGAAATAGCACCGGTAATTAGATTTTAATGTCATGATAACCTTGACCGCGAGTTATGAAGTTTCTTCATAGACGTTTAAATCTCGTGTGCATCCCACACCTATCTTCTTAAACTGTGCCTTATGATAATAATATTCTCAACATTCCGACAAGTTATTTCTTTACTTAAAGGCGCGAGTAATGTTTATTTCCTGCACTATTCATGTCCTGCAAGAACAAACCAGTTGTAAAGTAAGTTGCGCTAGAAGCATTGTTGACGGCCAGAATGAACATCAATAATACTTATGGCATGTTACGAGCATTGATAATACGGCTATTGATAATACTTAGATACTTTGTGATTTTCGTGAATAAACATTGCCATAAATTTAACTTCGCACATTTTTTTATATACTCGACGCCCCATCACTACTGTCTAATGTCAACAGAGGTAATTATTTGGTAATTTAAAAAGTTAATTTGCAAGATAATAAATTCACAAATATGTAAGAGAGTCAATCCTGCGGCCGCTCTTCATAATATGGTAATACTGTAATATGGTAATACCATAATGTGTTACTGGGCAAGTTGATAGAATATATCACAGAGTATTATTGAAATTTGATTCTCATCTTAATAAAATAGCCAAAACCCATTTCCTGGCATTCTCTTCATCGCTCAGGATGAAAAAGATTTTTGTGGTTGTGCAGTATGTCGTCGATTTCATCACGTACAAGTATCCATTGTTAACGTTGCGATTTGAAATTTGGTATTACATTTAATTAGTAACACACCCAAGGGAGGGAAGGAAGCGCACCCATGGAGTTTCAGCCTCCGAAGCCAAAATTACATAGTATATAAAACTAATAGGTTTCACAATTTCTTTATGTTATCTAAAGTAATTCATTATATCGAATGTTAATGTTTTAAATATTAACAATAAGTTAACAAAACATTACATTATATGCTCGGCATAAATGGTAAAATTCTGGAAACATCAAGTCAATGGGACACCATACCTGTAATTCCCCCAGGAAAAAATTCTGGGCGCGCTTCTTCATTTTGCGCGTTTTTAGAATAGTCCTAAAAAACACGGGGGTTGCTAAGACGTCTCCAAAAGGTAAAAGAAAACAAAAACAGCTGAAGCCTTAACCCCGCTCCTAGTGAACGTAATGATTGAAGCTGCTTTGCTCATCGTGTTAAAAATCACTGTAATAGACCGTAATGATGTAATGTAAATTCTGCACATCGGCAGGAACGTGCTGGTGACCTTATGTTACTGGCTGACAATGCCGGATTTATAATCGTCCCATTGGGTCCGGGCCCAGAGCACCGAAGTTCGAGGAACGTTATGTTAAAGTGCAGGTAAAAGGGAAGTATTCATAAACTCGTTTTTGTTGAAAGTTATTACTGCAAAATTAAATATAAAAATTGCAACTGATATAGTTGTACGAGGAGGAGACATATCCGTGGCGGCTGGTGCTCCAACTGTCTGGAGGTTGCACCTCAATCGAATGACAGAAACGTAATTTCCAAAATTCAAATATGTAATAAAAACGTAAACAATTCAAATTAAATAAAACTAAATTGAATAAAACCTTGTATTGAAACATTACTTCAATGATTTTACGCGCCGTATCCGTGTAAGGAACATACCTCCCGCGCGCGTGGATGCTTTGTTGTCCACTGGGCACTTAAGTTCGACAAGCACAATTGTTTCGACACGTTTACACCAATAAAATTATTTGATTTCGAAAACGTCACTATCCTGGTATCCTGGAGCGGATCCAGCCGATCATATTTGAGGGGCCATCGTAGATTTTTGTTAAATAATAAATGTTATTATATTGTATATTATTTATGTACTAGAGATATGATGATATACAAGCTTGTTGAAATATGTAGATAATTCGAACATAAATTAATATTTAAATCAACTTTGTCCAATAAAGGAAGATAAAAAGAAAACTAGGCTTTTTCAGTGCGGGCGGCATGGCCCCCATGCCCTCGCTAGATCCGCTAGTGCGTATATGTGCCAGTAATGAAATATCTTCGACACATTCGTTTTCCAAAGACACTTCCCAAACCCCATCCCAAATGGCACCAGCAGACACCGAATAATCTTGAACCACCTAGTCAAACTATCTACAAAGACATACACATCGTTAGTACCACAATACATAGCCAATTTTACATTCTCGTTTCGGAGCACAGAGAAAGTGTGTAAATCTGCTCGAAAAACCAGCGAATTTTCGGCAGAAAAACTCTTATTACAGGGCCCTGGTAACGAAAAATTGGATAAACCCAGTAACTAAATATAGGCGAAAATCCTCTAACACATCGTATAGCCAGAATACATGTTTTCTGGGTTTTTGATACTGAAAAATCATTTGTCCTTGAAACGCCCGACACTGTCCGACCGACCGTGTCTGTCTGTCCGTCTGCCCGACCGACCGTGTCTGTCTGTCCGTCTGCCCGACCGACCGTCGCTGTCTGTCCGTCTGCCCGACCGACCGTCGCTGTCTGTCTATGCTCTGCTGTCTTGGTCCGTCTGCCCGACCGACCGTCGCTGTCTTGTTGTCCGTCTGCCCGCCGACGTCGCTGTCTGTCCGTCTGCCGACCGACGCTGTCCCTGATCCTGTCTGCCCTGATCCGACGCTTTGTTGTACGCCTGCTTCTGTCCGTCTGCCCGACCGACCGTCGCTGTCTGGTGAACCGATACTGCCCGACTCCGACCGTCGCCTGCCTGTCCTCTGCCGACCGACGTCGCTGTCTGTCCGTCCTGCACGCGAAAGATATTCAGTCGCTGTCTGTCCGTCCTGCCCGGACCGTACCCGTCGGCTGTCTGTCCGTCTGCCCGACCTGAAACTAGTCGCCTGATCTGTCCGTTCTTGCCCGTACCCCAAGACCGTCGAATTGTCCTGTCCGTCTGCCCGACGCGACCGTCGCCTCTGTCTGATACTCGTCTGCGACCGACCGTCGCTGTTCTGTCGCTGCCTCGACGGACTCGTCGTCTTTGTCTGTCCGCTACTGCCCACGACCGACGGTCGTCTGTCTGTCGGGTATTCTATGCCGACCAACCGCTCGCCCTCGTCTGTCCGTCTGCACCGGGACCGAATTTTTCCTGTAGCTGATCTGTACCGTCTGCCCGGACCCCACCGATCGCGTCCACCGCTGTCTGTCCGTCTGCCGCAGACTCTTTGGACCCGTCGCTGGCTGTCCGTTCTGCCCGACGCGACCGTCGCTGGCTGTTCCGTCTGCCCGACCGACCGTCGCTGGCTGTCCGTCTGCCCGACGCCCGTCGCTGGGCTGGTCCGTCTGCCGACCGACAACGTCGCTGTCTGTCCGTCTGCCCGACGACCGCCTGTCTGTCGTCTAGCCCCGACCGACCGTCGCTGTCTGTCCGTCTGCCACGCCACCGACCCGTCCAAGGCTGTTCTGTCCGTCTGCCCGACCCGACCGTCGCTGTTCTGTACACAGATACTGCTCACGCCCCGACCCGTCGCTGTCTGTCCGTCTGGTGCCCGACTCGAACGTCGCTGCTTCTCCGTGTCTTGCCGAAAAAGCGAGGCCGATACAACCTGTCGCTGTCTGTCGTCTGTACCACTGCCCGAAAACGATTCCCAGTCGCTGTTGTTCCGTCTGCCCGACGACCGTCGCTGTCTGTCCGTCTGCCCGACGACCGTCGCTGTCTGTCCGTCTGCCCGACCGACCGTCGCTATCTGTCCGTCTGCCCGACCGACCGTTCGCCTGTCTGTCGTCTGCAACCGACCGACCGTCGCTGTCTGTCCGTAAAAACGCCGATCCGACCGTCGCCTGGTCCTGTATTCGTTTCTGCCCGAGAGCGTTTCAGATGTCTGCCGTCTGAGCCCGATACGACTCCGTCGCTAGTCTGTCCGTCTGACCCGACCGAGTCTTGGTCACTGTCTGTCCGTCTGCCCGACCAAGAGGCAGTAACGCTGATCCTTGTTCTCCGTATTCTGCCGACCGACCGTCGCTGTCTGTCGCCGTCTGCCCTACCGACCGTCCGCTGGCTTTGGTCCGTCTGCCCGGGACCAGAATTACGGATATCCGTCGCTCGGCTGTCCGTCTGCCCCGACCGACCCGATACGCTGGTCTGTTTGATCTGTGTCGTTGACGACTGATGTGGTGTGTTGACGGACTGACTTTGTTTGTAGTGTTTGCACGGACTAAGACTGTAGTGTGTTTGACGGACTGGCTGACTGTGTGCTGTTATGACCGGTACTTGGACTGATGGTGTTTGACGGACTGACTGTGTGTGTTTGACGGGACTGACTGTGTGTGTTTGACGGACACGGACTGGACTGACTTTGTGTGTTGACGGAGGCGGGAGACTGACCGTGTTGTTGTTTGACAGGACGGACTGACTGTGGTGTGGTTTCGACGGACGGACTGACTGGTGTGTGTTTTGACGGACGGACTGACTGTGTCCGGTAGTGGTGGCGGACTGATGTGTCGGTATGTGGTGGGCGGACTACTGTGTCGGTATGTGTGGCGCGGACTGACTGTGTCGGTAATGTGTGGGGACTGACTGTGTCCGGTATGTGTGGCGGACTGACATGTGTGCCGTGTGGCGGTCTGATGGGTGTCGGCCGGTGTGGCGGTCTGACTGTTCGGCCGGTGTGGCGGTTTGACTGGTGT